AAAGAAATTAAATATATTAAAGAAATATGTGAAATTAGAGATCGCTAAGAAATTAGTGAAATCTGAGAAATCTGAGAAATAGTAGAAAGTTGAGAATCGTGATCGATATGATTACCATTCGTCAATTAGGTTAGACGTAGTATCGTGCGTCATAACAAGACTATCACTAATAACGATGTTAGTATCATTCTATTGGAACAATTTTTTTTATCATTCTTTAGAATGATCTTTTATCATTTTTGAGAAATGATGCTTTTAATTGTTCCTTTAAAATGATCTTTTATTATTCTTGAGAAATGATACTTTTAATTATTCCTTAAGAACAATTCTTCTATCGTTCTACTGGAATGATCCTTCTATCATCCTTTGAATGATTCTTTATCGTTGGAAGATAAAATTGAGAAACTCTTTTAAAATTGAGAATTCTCTAGAGTTTTGCTCTAAGAATTGCTATTTTTTAAGAATATCACTAAATTTTTTGTAAAGCAAATGACTAAATGACAAATGATTTAAATGATCTTAAATGATCTGATCTTGAACATTAATCATTTGTCATTTAGATCATTTGCGAAATGACAAATGCTTAATGATTTATGATTATAACAAAGGAATAAACAGATCAATTAAATTGTTAAATAACCAGGTCATTACCAAATACTAATTTCTAGTGGATTTGATTGTTTTCGATTATATTGTCCTTGATTAGCAATTGGATAAGGTTTTATTATTCAATTCAACAATTTCATTTAAATAACCATGGGCTTCACGAAACTTAATAAATAAACCTATCCACATGTTAGATTTGTCTGTATTTACATTTCTTGATGCTTTCTGAAATATTAAAATTGTTTCTTTAGTTGATGAAACAAATCGCGTTGTCATTATTAATTTATAAAGAAGGATTTGAATAATGAGGAATAGAAAGAAAATTTTAAGGAAGAAAAAAGAAGCATAGGAAAAAAAATAATGCAAAAAAAGTTTAAATCGCTAATCATGTATAATCACGTGTTATATTTAATGAGTGACACGCTCCTGGGGATTACACATTTATTTCATGGGAAGGGCATGGTTTTTTTCCTTCGGGAAAAACCCATATTATTTCTAACTCCTCATGAAATAAATAATACTAATCTTGAGATTTGCTGTAAAACAACCGCAATAATACAATATAGATTACTAGATATTCGCTATCATATTATGAAGAATTTAATTCTTGATGATTGTGATTATTTAATTCATTACCTTTTATTTGGATCTAATATGGATCTATATATACCAAAACATTTGAACAAACGAACATCAAAGCAAGCAGTAATTAGAGAAACTTTGAAAGAAGCAGGTATATTTATCGAACCTGATAATGCTGAATTTATTTTTAATGATGACTACTATTATTGTGATATATACTGTATATTAAACAAGCTTGAATTTTTGAACGAACTGAACTGCAAAACAAGAGATTTGGTATGCGAAGAACGTAAATGCATTATAATAGATGAAGTCAATCCTGTAAATAAAAAAATTGATTAACATTATTTATCGATAGATTTAAAATATTTTATTTCCTTGTAGGTCAGAGCGTGGAACTTAAATATCCAACGACAGATGTGAATTTAGCAATTTACAATTATAAAGGTAAGCTTTATTAGAATCATTGCATCGAAAGATTAAAAAAATTCATTTGTAGATCGTAAATCAAAATAAAATTATTGTTACATATATTTTGGTAATTGCTAAAGACGATTCCCGATGCATATTCTTTATGTAAGATATTAAATTTTGGTATGTTTTCATTTTTATAGTCTTACTTAATTTGAATAGATTTATTCATCATATACCAGTATTATTAAAAATGAGTGGCACACCATATATGCTTCATTGAAACCATCCAAAGTTATATCACCCAAGAAAGACTCAAAGCGTACTGGATTACCAAGGGTGAGATTACAAACATATTCTATTGCTTTTAATTCCACAAAGTTTTCAATCTAAAGCATATACATGATAATATATTTAAAGATAAAGATATAAGTAAATAATCAATAATTTTTGGAAAGATTACATTTAGTATCTTTTTCGATCTTTTTCTTCGATTTTTAATTTATGGAATTTGTTTTATTTTGATTGGTTTATATCATAAACTGCCGAAGGACATCAAATTTTTATTTCTGTTAATTGGTGTATTCTATTATTTAGCAGTTTATCTATTCTTTTCTTAATTTCTGTAACTAATTCATTGTGGAAGTAAAAAATATTTTGTATTATTTTGGAACTGGTTAAATTTAATTTCAATCGTTATGCCTGTGATAGTAATGACAAAATTTCTTATTTATACGTTTAAATTCTCTAATGGCTTTGGAAGAGTTGCAATGGACGATCAATTAATTGTGGAAATGTCTTATTCAATTTTTATAATTTGGATTTATTTTGTAAGGCTTTTAAATGATTATTTATTATTCATTTAATTAAATATTTACCTTTTTAAATTTTTTTAGATTCTTTATCTCCGTATTTTACCAATTAAGACAATTTATCACTCGCATAGTTAACTTTTTAATTCTTTTCACTTTTTAAAAAATCAAATGGAAATTTCGTTTTGTCAAAAAAAAGTTTATTCAAAATTCTTTTTTTTAAAGAAAATTTTCTTAAAAAAAAAGTAAAAAATATTTGTTATATATAAATAAATTTAAATAAAAAAATTAATATTTATTAATACTCATTACGAAGTCGAAAACAAATTGAATATCTCACGAAATTGTTAATATTTGGTAGCAGAAAAGGGGGAAATCCAAAATTTTTGCTAAATAAGACGTTAAAGCACAAATTGTAATATGGAAAAGCTTTAATTGGAAGATATTATTAATTTTCAGCCGTAAATTTATATTGATGTTAACTGGTCATTTCTTACAAAGATTTTGACTCGCCACCACCCACCTCACTTGTCGCGTTTTTATATGAATATATATTATCTTTTGTTGAAATTGTGGAATAAAAGTAATGACTCGGCCATGATAAAATTTATATTAATTAAATCTAGAAATTTGGAAAAAGTTTAACAATGAGATTATTAAAAACAATAAGGTAAAAAATGTATTTACAGTATAAATAATTTTCTAGAACAATAAAAAATAAATTAATTGAAATTTTTTATAAATATAATTTATATAACATCTTTATATTTTGCAGAATGATTAAATGAAAATGATTTACAAATCGAATAAATACTTAAATGGATAAAAAATTAATACAATTATTTATTTTTTTAAATATTATTGAATAAAAAAATCGAATCTACTTAAGTGGCGCAGTAAATACGTCGTTAATTTTAGTATCAATTCCAAAAATATGGACGGCGCGATTAGTGCAGTGCATTTAAAATAATAACAATAGCGAGCGTAAGAGCCTTTAATCCGGCCTTATTTTATTACTTGCATTTGAATATTGTCATAAATGTAAAATTTGTGAAACGTATGAATAATTATTTCTTGACATGGATTGTCAGAAATTCAGCAATTCTGACAATTTCGGTTAGTTCTGGCGTATTTTCTAAAAAGGTTTATTTATATTTTCAGTAAACAGCGAAGTCAGTGGTGTGGTGCTATTGCGAAAAATTCGATCGTCCCATTGATATGATTTAAACGAGTTAGTTAACAAGCCGGTTTATGCGGAAAATATCATATGGGGAACCGTGGTAACTTGCCCTGATGACTAGTCCAAATATGGACTAAAAGGTTAAATAAATCCTTATATATAAATAGATTTTAAATTTCGTATTATGAAACCACAACTAAAAAATTAAAAAATGCTCGAATTAAGTTCTTTAGTTAGTTATTTCACTTTAGCAGTTATAAGTTGGTTTACTTATAAAGTCTATATTTATCCATATTATATTTCTCCTTTAAGAGACATTCCTGGTCCGCCTTCTGAAAGTTTTCTTTACGGAAATCTTAAAAGGATTTTCGTAGAAGAGGTTGGTTATAATGGTTATAATCAACACGTTATTCATCGTGATACAATAAATTTTATTTTATTTTTTATTTTTATTTTTTTTTTAGTCGGCTGAACCACACACTAGATGGGTAAAAAAATACGGAAAATTTATAAAATATCACGGAATATTAAATGAACCATATATTGTAGTTACAAATGCAAAGATAATCCAAGATATAGCTTTAAATCATGGATACGATTTTGTTAAGCATAGAGTTCTGAGGGGCGATTTTAAGTCATTTCTTGGTCGAGGTCTTTCCAATGTAGAAGGAGAAATACACAAGAGACAGAGAAAAATGATGAACCCTTCTTTCACTCATAATAACATTAAAGTACGTAAATCTATTGCAATTGGTGTAATTTAATTAAATAAATTTTTTTTTTATTATATTAGAATATGGTTCCAACATTTGTTCGCGTAGCTTTGACATTAAAATGTCTAATAGAAGATAAAGTAAATAAAGGAGAAACAAAAATTAATCTTACTCCCTATATCTCCAAAGCTACGTTAGATATCATTGGCTTAGTTGGTTAGTTTAAAAGATTTTTTTTTAATTGAAACTTAATAAAGGTTCCCGACTTAAAAATTTCTTTTTCTAGGATTTAATCACACGTTTAATTCACTAACATCCCCAAGTGAATTAGCACAAGCTTACGAGTTTTTAGTAACAATCGAAATGACTACCTTTAACATTTGCATCAGTATTTTATCTGCCTATACACTATTTGTCAGAAAAATTCCAATAAATATAAACAGAAGATTTAATAGTGCATGTAAAGTTATTGAACGAGAATCGAGAAAGTTGCTTGAAGAAAAATATCATGATGACAGAAATAACAAATTGGATGGTTATGATTTATTATCTACATTAATGAAAATCAATAAAAATTTACCTGTTGAAGAAAAAATGACCGATAAAGAACTGAAATATCAGGTGATTAAAGATTTTTTCTTTCTTAAAAAATTTGAGCCGCAATTAATCAAATTTCTTTTTTTTAACATTTAGATCATGACGATTTTGTTTGCGGGACACGAAACTACGAGCAGTGTAACGTCTTGGGCTTTGTATCTACTTGCAAAACATCCACATGTTCAGGATAAATTACGTGAAGAGTTGGTAAAAGCTTTTCCCGATAAATCAATATTTAATCCCAACTTTGACGAAATTAATTCTTTGGAATACCTTAATTGCGTAGTTAAAGAAACGTTAAGATTAAATCCTGCAGGTATATTTATTAAAGTTTACATAGCTTTATTATATTATTAACTAATAATTTTCATCTTAGTTTCGATTCTTCAACGTTCTAATATCAAAGATATGATTATTGACGGGCATTTTGTTCCAAAAGTATGTTAATATTATATTGCTCTTTTCTAATTTATTAAGAAAGAACTTTTTTAAACAGTTGAATACAAAAAAAAAAAAATCTTTTAATTCATAGGGTTCTACAATTGATATCCCAATTGCGACAATTCAGAGATTACCTTCGATTTGGGGACCAACTGCTGACAATTTTGACCCAAAAAGGTGGTTAGATTCTTCATTAATTAAAGAGGTTACAAATTACAATTATTTGCCTTTCGGTACAGGTATTAGATCTTGTATAGGTAACAAAATAGCTTTAAGTGAGTTGAAAGTATTATTAGGTATGCTAGTTAGAAATTTTACTATTCAACCCGTTGAAGGATTTAATGTTAAGAAAAGGGTTGGTATATTTGGTAAACCAGATCCATATGTTGAATTAATTGTTTCCATGGTTGAAGTTTAAACTCTGAAAGTCATAACTTGACCAGACCAATGTCTTGAATTTTGATTGGGTAATTTTTTATATATTTTATATAACACTATAATATAAATTTTAAATAAATATATATATATATAAATAGAATAACATTGTAATTTGATAAAACCGGACGTTAAACCATTCCATCAGACGGTATTCTATCTATTTGATAGATCCTCGACATATTTGTGAATAAATTTTAACTTTGCTATCGGTCAAAGAATCAATGATTTGCTATTAAAAGATATGACTTGCTATGTCTCGTAACCTTGATTATAGAAAACGACCCATATTATACTTCAAATAATATTATAGGTCCAATTTTCAACTACAATAATTTTAAAATATGCATTTTGCTAATGATCTTACAGTAAAATGGTTAATAATTAATTTATTTCCTGATAAATTTGAAGCATCATTATATATTATTGATCTATTCTTTAGTATTTTAATTTATAATTATGATCTCTGATACGTTGCCTTGATGTCGAAAGCGTGCTTACGATGTTAGGGTATTACGGTCAAAAGGTTAGAACGGATTAAATTCGTTAAGGATGTTGACGTAATGATAAATTTCTAAATGAAAAAATGCATGCTATTAAAATATATAAAGTATTCTATATTTGTTGTTCTCAATAAAATTAAATTTATCAAATATAGCATTTTTAATGATTTGGACATTTTTTATTATTAACATTAGAAACTAAGAAAGATCATGTAATGCCTCAACATCGAAGTTTTTTACTATCGGGTGCGCTTATTATGCAAAATTCGTTATTGTTATAATAAATTCGAGATGAATATTTAACTAATTCTATTTAAAACTTCTCCAATGCATAATTTCTCATTGGGTAGAATCATAAAATAATTTAGAGTTGAATTAAGATTGACTGAAATATCAATCCTAATAGTATAAAGTATATTAGGCCGGACAAACTCAATTTTTCGATTCTCGTAACATCAGAATTTTAAAGCTAAATTGGGATTAATTATTCGGTACATTTCAAAATACTTAAATTACTACTTTTGTAAAAGGTTTACTACGTTTTAAGTAGTTGATCTTCCAGTGATAAGGTCAATAGATTCGCTTATTGTTTAATTATTTATAATTAAAGTAGCGTAAAATAAAAGAAGTTTGCATAATTTAAATTTCTCTTGTGGTACAAATTAGAATTATGCGATCACCCAGGTCATGTAAAGTATCAACCTGACCCGACGGGTTGATTTACTGTAATTCGGGCTCGGGTCTTAAAATTACGACCCTAACCATAACCTAACCCCTTAACTCCGGTCAATAACCCGGGTCGACCCGACCGGTTCGGAGCACTAGTTACTCCTAAAGATGTACATGAATAATCGAAAATGCATTTGCCATTGATACACTTGAACTGGAGTTTTAGGATTATGATTTTGAAGTATATTTCGGGAAAACAAAATTCAGTGTAAAGAAACGGTGGTGTAAATACAAATAAAAAAAGCGACGTAAATCATTATTTGGTCTAATTAGTCAAAAAAAAAAGCAAAGAAATGTATTTCAATAATCATTTAGCCTTTAACAATTAGTTTCAAACACATTACTAGATTATTTAGCATTGAATTATAAATTTACCTTTACAATGATTTATTAAAAGAAGTTTTATATATAATTATATTAAATTTATACAGCCAATATCCATTTTTTATTATTTGACACGTGAAATAAAATTTGTTACTATAAAAAAATCATTAACTAAATCATTAATATATTATTAACTTATTAAATATTAAGTTAGTTAGATATTGTATTAATATTTAATTTATTATTAAAAGAATATTAATAAATTTATAAGTCTTTAATACATAATAATTCTTTTTTTCTGGCGCCAATCCTCTAATGAACAACTGCATTATTAGTTTTCTTGATTTCATCTGTATTATCGCCACATGGCCATATTTCCCGTTCTAATTCGTCCGGATAATATTGCAATTCTATCAGACTCAATATTTGCAAAAGATAAATAGAATGTGTACATGGAATAATGACATTTGGATACAAATTGTTTAAGCGTTTTCTCTTTCCAATGCATAACTGCCTTAGTGTTCCAATAGGTTTTAATTGCGCAAAAAGCCTTTCCAATTATAAATTGTCCAATAGAAACTTTCTGTCCATATTCTTCATAAATTCATTGAAGGCTCGGCATCTATATTTTCAAACATTTTTGCTAATAGATTGTTCATACTAAAACTAAAGATTATTAAAAAAAAAGGAAAGGGAACTTAAATGGGGACCGGCATTCAAAAAATGAGATCAGTCGTGGGCTTTTCTGTTAAGTAACCTTGCCCAACCACCATTAACAAAGGATGCTTATATAGTTTTTTTTTTTTAACTCAACTCATGTAATCAAGTGATCGACTGTCATATGATTCAACAATCAATACATGACGAATAGACAGAATGTTTGATCTATTATAGTAAATAATGCTCATAAGATTTGTCTAATTTAAAAATCTATTGGTTATTAAATAATCATAAAAATCGGGGCATTATTGTCCAAGTTATATCAGTTTGAAATTTTAATAGCATTTGATAGATATATCACGTGACCGTTATATTTCAACTTGATTGGAAAAAAAGAACCATTACTTAATTGAAGATTTTAATGATATTACCCAATCTTTGAGATAAAATTATTGATTTCGATTC